CTTTACCTCTCCTATCTTGCCAACACATGTGCTGATCTGTCATAGGGCCCAGAATCCGAATCTGACATGGCTCAAACTCCTCCAGCCAATAAAAATTTTACACGTGGCATTAATTTAAAATTTTGCAATTTATGGTGTAAACAATTTCACATATTTCTTCACTAGTTATTCTATAATTGGTGGTGCCATTATGAGTAACTTGGCTAGTAAATCTTATATAAAGTAGAAGATTCTTTTCTCCCCCAATCATGGAATAGCCTTTTGTCATGATTCCTACTTTGATAAATTCTTTAAGGGCCTTTGTGTTTATTTGAAAATTGAGAGTAAAGCCAACAAATCCCTCTTGTTCTAATAGATCTATTTCGATAGATCCTACAAGAGATTGGACCATATCCTATTGTCTTGTATGTAAAAGAGTTAGAAAGCATTTTGTACCTAAACTCTATCTATGTAGTGTCTTAACTCTTATGGTGATCAACTATATGTGCACCAACCAGTATTTTATCTTTTCGAGATTAAAATATCCATTCTCACTTAATAGTCTTAAAGTGACACTATCACTGCTTTTGATATAGGATATTTGAGTCTAAATTCATATATTTTCACAATAGGACAAATAAACTGAAATAATAATAGATAATAATATGATGACAGTAATAAACAGTATATGATAAATGGTAACAGAAACAGACAATAACTAAATTATAAATGCGAATAGTAACAAATATAGAAAAAAAAATAGCAACAAATGTTAACTAAGACAAAGGAAGTAAAAATTAATAGACAGAATACTAATAAAACAGTAACAAATATTGACTAAAGTAAGCAAAGGGTAAGTAAGATAGCAACAATACGTAGCAAATGGAAAGTTTGACTCCTAAAACTTGACTTTTGGCCAACTAGATTATAATGGTACGTATTATTTAAATAATTAGTTCTTTTTATTTATGTGGGATCTATAATATTAAATACATTTACTTATTTAATGACATGTGAAAGCTATATACTAGACCTTTTAGGAACGAAATTTATATAACCTAACACAAATTAATGCAACTTGACTTTTGCGTGGATTAAGGCAAAAAAGTCAAGTGTTATTCAATCTTTCAGTTTGATTATCTGTCCTACTTCATTGATAAGCAGGAAGGGCCTGAAAGATGGGATTAACTTTGATGGGCTTGTATTTCTATATGTTGCATATGTAAATGGGTTTGAGTATTTCTTGTACTCAATTTTTTAATTGAAATTTTTTTGTTGTTCAAAAAAAAAAAGCAACTTGACTTTTTAAACAAAACAAGAAAATTTACGCACCTAAAACTTGAATTTTTAATTAAGAATTTAATACAATTAGACTAATTGACAAAGATATAAAGCAAACTAGATCTTTGACAAAGAAAAAATTATCTGTAAATTAAGATTTGTCTATTTTTTATAT